TGGTATGTCTTTGTTCTTATCTCCACCTCAGTGTTCTCTAACTCTTCTGCCCATTAGAAAATAACTTGAGCAGGAGTGCCTCAGCACAAAAGTGATTCTATCCACATTAGCTGATCCTATCCCTTCCCCTTATTTTTACCTCTTGGTGTTTTAACTGCAGTTGGCATTCTTGAGTCACAGTACTGCCACTGGCTGTAGTCTGTTTACTGTTAAGTCTTGATTAGAATGTCTGACAAAGTTCTAAATTTTTTACATTACATCTAAATAGTTTAAATGAAATTAAATGTGTGTTTTACTTTTCAAAAATTGATGAAAACACCTTTTTTATTTTAGCTGATAATTCTGTTTTCTTGGCCTTACAAGCTTGTGGATTTATCTCTATTTTTATTTGACTTTCATGAATAAAATAAAACAACACTGCCCACTTTAGTTGATCTAAAAATACATTTTATTTTTTAATGTTTTCAGGTAGAATAGTGTAATAGTGTTTTTTTTTTGTTTTAACCTGTGGTTTGTTATGTGTGGAAATGGGATGTAATATATTATTGCGTAGGATGTGTAAAGACACAAAGAGAAGTTGTTACTCCATGCACAGTGTAACCAGCAAGGCTTGGTTCTTTGCAAGTGCTTGTTCCTTATTATGTGTCTATGCACATACCGTTAAATAGAACCTGAAGACTGGAAAACAGAAATGATTATAATGTTGACAATACTAACCTGGAGACTAAACTGCAGTAAAAACAACGCATCAGTCAAATTATAAATCATCTTTATTTTAATTCTAGATCACAATGCTTGAATATTTTCCAGTGATATCTCAATGAGAATGCTTCCTGACAGTATGTAATTTGTGATGAACAGATGACAAGAACATTAAGGCCTGTGCTCCACAGGACAGTCTGTCATAAGATCAACACATGACAAAGCAAGTGTGATGGCTCGTGCCTGTGTCTTGTGTTAAGGTGACATCATTTGTCGTACCATCATATCATCACTGACATTACACAAATCTTTTCAAAATAATTCTTAATAATATATCATTTATGAAAGGAAACAGATGCTAGGCCATACGTAAGGGTTTGGTAGCAGTGAAGGTTAACCCACCATTCCAAAAATGTTTTGAAACATTGAGTGGTACTTTTGGTATTCCTGGAATCAAAGAACCATCTCACTGGAAAGCCCCCTCAGTTTAACAGCTGAAGAGGTTTTTCTGCAGCTGCTGCTTCACTTTAATGTCATTCCAACTGTCTTTAATCTGGCACTGTCCGAGTATAAAAGAAGGAAACACCCAAGGCTTAGTATTTGCAAGCGAGCAAGACTTGTCAGTTTAATAACAAACTCTTTCAGCAAGACATCAAGTACTTTAGACCTGTGATTATCTACTGCCAAAAACATTTCTGTGCGTAGAAGCTGCAGTCAGACTGTACTTCTGAATGTACGTGACCTTCACATACTTAGGGAATATTGCACTAGTAACCGGAGACCACAATACTGTAATAAATCTGAACATGGCAACTGTAAGAAAACATCAAAACTGTTTTATGCCAAGATAAAACACATAGCTATGTAGTTGTAGAACAATAAAACCAGTCCAACTCTCCGGTTGGTTATTCAGTCTAGCCTCTACGCTGCTAAATACCTTGACCCAGATTAACACCACATCCTGTAAATGCTGATTTCACCACAACAAGCTCTACTGTATAGAGGTATTTAGTCACTTGGAGGCTGAATACCAAGATTCCCAGCATTCAGTTACAACATAAGTCGTTTAAAGGTCTTTAGAAAGTCAAGCCAGTCCAGTTGCCAACGATAGGATAAAATGACCTGGATGACTGAGAACCAACACAGACGAGATGTTTGGCCTGCCTGCAGTGCAGATGTCCTTCTACTGAAAAGCATTTGCCACATCATGGGGGGTGAGGAGGGGTCTGACAACAGACAGTGAAAAAGACTTACCTTAAAAACTGTAATGCTTAATATTAATGAAATCTATCATTTTATTTTGTTTGACATTAGTTCAAAAACATATTCATCTTATGATAAATAAAAGTTTAAATCCACTCCCATTTTTTGCATAAAAACATAGGACTCAGATGCATTAATCACTTGTGGAAGAAATGATTAGGGTTTTTCCTAGAGTAACCCAATGCTGTGAGGACTATGGCGTGGCAGCATAGCCTACTTTTAAAAACCACATACAGGTCAGGTCACATCAATGTTTGATTTATAGCACAATTGCCTGCGAGACTTAAGCTCTGTCCGTTGTCTTCTTGCCACCGTGCGAGCAGGAAGGTATGTGGGAAAAGGGGGGGCCTAGAAAAACGTAATTTTTTTTTAAACCCTTATAATGAACAGTTACAGTGAAAATAGTTATGCTGTGTAATAGCATCGTGACATGACTGGATAATAACTGAATTACACAGTTACATAATATCCTGGTGCCAACTCACAAGGTCCGTCTGACAGGAAGTGCTTTATGCAACCCTGAGATATTACAAAATACTGTTCAGTTTGACTGGTACGACGGAAGGGTAATAATCATTTAATTTTAATGAGAAGGATTTTATCAAATTTATCCTTTAAGGGCTTTTGGTCAAAACACTTCGAGGATGCAGTAATCTCAACACGCTAATTACTATTGTGGGCAGCATCTCTGATTTCTGTTCCTTCTGTTAGATAACAGATTATTAATGTACAGTGGTCTCGCTCCTATCGCGGTAGTTGCGTTCTAAGACCCACCCGCAAAATAGAGGCGAATTATTTATTTCCCACCGCAAAAAGGGAAAAATCGCAAAATAGAGGCGAATTATTTATTACATTATTTACATTTAAATTTACATAATTATAGGCACAGTATAATGGTTGTTATTATAGGCACAGTATAATGGTTGTGTAATCGTTCGCAAATGAGCTTATCCCCATTTCAAAACGAGTGTCTTTTAGTTTATTTTTTGCTATATTTCGCAATATATCGAACATTTCGCGAGATCGGAATTTTAAGAAAATCTGCGATATCGTTTAGATATACGTATATTTACACTTTCATTAAAATTCATTTAACACAACAGATATTACATTCTTAGCACCCTCTACAGGGCAAGAAGGGGAACTAGGTGCAAGTAGTTTTGTAAAATATTATCAGAATTGATACATAGAACACCTTCTACACGCCCTATTTTTCAAAATGTCATGTAAAGTGTGCATGCTTTGGAAGCGAAGAATGTTAAAGCAATATTTTACAGACAACAAAATCGAATGCAAAGTTTCAGCATGGTTCAAATTAGATGACATCAGAAGGAAACGTTTTGCGAGAATCACTGCACCACAGCTAACATAAAAGCACTCATTGTTATGGCCGTTCCTGGGACCAACATTTTGACAAACAGGGGCTCACATGAGTTAACACATGCACATGCACTAACATGAGCCACAGTGAACGAGCAGCCAGACCGGTTACCAAAACAAAGAAAAGAGAAGGCCAGATCACAGCACACATGGAGGGAGTGTGACTTCACTTTTACTGTAACTGCACAATACTCCACACTGACTGAGATAATTGTTTCTAAATAATGTTTACCGGTTTCCAAAGCAAAGCGGTGAGGTCGACAAATCACATCTCGCAGAGAAGGGGGTGTGACCATGTTCTCACCGCCGCTGTGCAATATACAGTAGTCACATGGAAAATCAGTACCACTGTGGATTCAATTGTGTCAAGATTGCAAGTAGCTTTTTACTTAGCAACTATTCGTTTTCACTTCTTTCTAAACAGACATAGAAACACCTCAGTGGAAAAACAATATTGCAACATCAGCCTCAACAAGCCCCACTATACTTAGAATCCCTCCTTTAGCAGCGGGCTGCGCGTGGGCTTTCCCAGCTCCAGCCCAAGTATTTGCGTAGCTGGCTGTGTTTATTTGCTCTGGTCTGAGGGTGAAGACTAGCAGGCTGTGCTGAGGCGCGTCAGTGAAATGTGCCGGGTCCACTTTCGATTTAACCACTGCGTTAACAAGACCTGCCTTGTGTTGTCTGTATTCTGGAGCCTGGCGTCCTGGTCAGTGGTCACTTTCAGAAGCCCAACCTGAGAGACCTCTGGCCTTTAGCAAAGCGTTGTGGGGTCCAAAAGTGCACGATCAACAAACAAGAGGACCAAACATCACTCAGCACTTGTTAAAAAAATAGCTTCCCTTGAGGAAAGGACACAAGGGGTTGGTTCAGGCAACTGGGCAAGCCTGAAATGGGGATAATAAAATGTGCATGTGAACCGTGTGCATGGTCAAAAGTTTATTAGGCTGCTTTTCCACAAAAACACACATCTGCTTGTTTGTGTTGACCCGGGTCATTTATTTCTCAGTGTCTGACGACTAATAAAAGAAAGTGTTAAAGTAAAGTTTTATTTTTATTTTAAAGTTTTATTACCGTCACGTGTCTGCGTCTAAAGATGAACCTCTGCCTCTTTTTATTTTTGGCCAAAAATATACTGAAATAGAGAACAAGCTGAAAGGTAACGTCTAGCGTATTTTGAGAACCTTTTTGAGCTACTGCTGACTCCTACATGTTATTGTGATTTATTTATTAATTATTCATGAATTTAATATTTTCAAAAATACTTTCAGAACAGAGGTATTCAACTGGAGGTTTACGTCCCCAAGGATGTACTGGAAGATGTGAGATGAGAGAGCGAGAGAGAGAGAGAGAGATGAAGAGATAAAGAGGGACAGAATTCCAAAGAGACTCAGAAACCAAAGGAAGGCTCAGAGTGATAGGATGCAAAGAATCAGTGTGGGAATATTTGTCTGGAAAATGCTAGGAAACAAGTGAAGCTGTGGCAGATTTTATGTTTTGTTTTGTTTTGTTTTTTTTACTGTCTCTCATTTAATTCTTCTGATATTCTGTCATGAAGCCTCAACACGACATAAGGAAGGAATTTAAATGTTGTTGCCTGTTATTACTGTACATTACAGTAATTTGCAGTCACTTAGACCCAGTCTGCCTGTTTGTTCTTGACCAGATACTTATCAGTCAGTGCATAAATTGATTTATGATGGCGATGCATGACTGTGTGTGTGAGTGTGACAGAGAGAGTGGGAGCGAGAGAGAGAGAGAGAGAGAGAGAGTGAATCCCCCAACTACAAACCCACACACCCTCAGATATGTATGTGTGTTTACTGATGTTTTCATGCGCCATCTTCTCCCACTTGTCACTGCCTGTTGGCAGATTATATTTCATCCCTTCACACTTCTTCGTGGCCAGTAGAACGGGTTGATTTAAGCAGCAGAAACAGTCACTTATCTTCCTCTCCTCCCCCGGAGGACAGATTCCAGAAAACAGAATTGTGTTCATGTGACTGGCTGCAGGGCTGCAGCTAAGGTTCACATCAGGGCAGTGATGAGTCTGACATGAGGAGGTACCGAAGGTGATTTACGCAGATATTTATGAAGACTCCGGTGTGTGGTTACTAAAGCAGGGTGAATTTGTTTAGCCCAAATAATTCTGGACAGATGCCAGATGTCTACAATATATATACAGTTATCCCTCACCTATCACAGCACTTACGTTCTAAGACCCACACCGAAATGGGAAAAATAGAAACGAGATAGTTATTATATTATTTACACATATATATATATATATTTGTTGGGTGGTGAAGTTTTGTACAACCTAAGTGAATACTCCTTATCCTTTGTTTCCTGATTCCTATCTTATCCTGATGACGAAGCACTTTACACCACTGATTGTGCCATTTATTTACCCTCTGACAGCAAGAGGGGCAAGTTCCGTTTGATTTTGACGCATCAAACCATCATTCAAAATGTTGAAATCAGGTCAAACATGACAGCTGGTACCCCAGCCTCAAAAGAAACCTGTTAAAATGACTGACAGCTCTGTTACACGGAACTTGATGAGGCAAAAAAAAAGAAGCAAGTTGTGACTTGGTGGTGCAGAAGACGACAGCCAGAGCTCCAAACAGCGCCTGCAGTGGTCTAAGTGTTCAGACCTAAATGGTGCAGAAACAGCAGAAAATGAGTCGTAACTTAGCTCTGCCATCCATAAAACCATCTTTGTTCACAGCCTGTTGCATGTCTATAAAAAACAATTTCTTTATTGGTTAACTTGATAAAATGTTTTCTATGAAATTAGTTATCACAAATGCTCGATCTGTGTTTGTTTGATTGCACAACAGCTTATTTGGAATTAGAGTCAAGCAGCATTTGAATGACTCATTGTATTTTTAGAGAAGATCTCTTCAAAGAAATTATGTGGAAAAGACAACTTTTTAAACAAGTATTTGGAAAAGGGATTGACCAAATTCCCTGTAAAAAACAAATTAGGAGCGATGCGTTAACCTTGAAATCCCTGTGATTGACTGATAATTCAGGGAACAAAATTTCATTTGATCAGTCGTGATTGCGTCCATTGATCTAATTAGTCTTGGCTAAGGCACCAACTGATAAAGTTCAATAACAAAACATTTCTCCTTCCGTGTTACTGTGAGACTCTCGGCTGACTTTGTCGGCAGTAGTCATAGAAACAGTGTTTGTGGAAATAAGAGGGGAGATAAAGTGGTGTGTGTTCAGCTTCATTTCATTCCACCTTCATCAGCTGCTCGTAAAAATGCCTTCTCAATAGGTCGGTCATCACATTCACCGTGACTCATGCCTCGCCTGAGGAAAGCCAGATTTTAGATGCAGACAGTCACTGAGAATAACGTTTGTAATGTAGGGCTACTGTTTCAACACAACACCGTCACTTGTGTTTAAAAAAAAAAAAAAGAGCTTTTTTCTAGTTCAAGTTAAAGATAGTAATTCGTAGTATTTTGATAAGGTAAATTCATCAAAGAATCAAGAACAAGACTGATGTCACTGTGTTAATATGTCAGAAAAACAGCTGAACCTAATTCATACAACACTGATGGGAGACTCGTTAAAAAAGAACCATGACCTGTACGTCATCCAAAAATACTCCCCGTCTTCTGAGAATCACCTTATCAAAGGGTTCAGCACAACAGAAATCCCAACTTCAAATGCTGTTAAAGTGAATCCAGCAGGAAACACAAATGAAGTTTCATCTGAGTTTGGCTGAACTCCACACAGCCTGGATCTCAATATCGTCAAATCTGTTTGGAATTACCTGCACAGGGAGCAGGTCAAAAAGCAATCAACATCTAAAGAGGAGTTCCGGAATGTTCTTCCAAAGGCTTGGAAAGTTATTCCTGGGGATAACCTGAACATTTTTTCAATGTGTTCATGTTCTCAGAGAAAACAATGTGCTTCAAATTTCACATTAATTGCAAAGATATAGTTTCAACCAGAAGAAAAGATGATCCTCTGAAAAGTCTGGCTCATTTTTTTTTTTTTTTTTGTAGTCTTATACAACAGCTGAACGAGTCAACCCTTGAATCGGTCCATATGATCAGAGAACAGAGTACAGAACAGATCAGATCAGAACAAGATATGATAAGACAGGATATGATGAGGTAGAAAAACTGAACTTCATCCTTCAAATACAAAGGTTTGAGGGGAGGGGAGAGGAGGAGGGGGCTCAACATGGTAGGAACTGTGCACGTAGGGAAACCATTTAAGTATCTAGTTTAAATGTCATTAGTGAATTGATTTTATATATATATATACACTGTATGTATATATACTGGGGAGCTGCGTCAGTTTTGGTGTCCTTTGACCTGCCAGGACAGAATAACTTATTTTCTTAATTGCTGGTCTTGATGAGTCCCAGAGACGCAGCGGGCTGTCGGACGCCTGGAAGGTTGATATGCGTGTTGTTGCAGCTCCAAAATTACCCTTTCAGGTTGTTTTCCATATAAGATGGCTAGAGTTAGTCATGTGTTTGTCACTCCAAGAATCAGTCAGTCTGGTAACACCACTGTGAGTGTGTGAACTAATGTATTCACAGGTGTCAGTCTGCTGTTTTATTTATTGAGTTAAAACATAAGCAGTTCACCTTTCAGATATGAGTTTTGGAATGATTGATAGAACTATACCAAGAACTTATATTTGGCATCTGTTTCTAATAGTTTGCTAACAAACATAAATTAAATTAGCGGGTGTCTTTAATCCTCTTATCTACTTCCACACAGTTATACCAAGGTGAGAATACAATGTCAACAGCGACAAGTATGGGCCACGATCTGGAGGAGTGGTTAGCGCTCTTGCCTTACAGCAAACAGTGTTTCTGAGTAAAGTTTGGTGTGGTTGTTGTCCTGGTACTGCAGGTTCTGCTACAGTCCAAAGACGTTTGATCGAGATCGAGAGATAGAAAATAAACCAATGGCAATGCAAGTATAGATCAAGTCACAATTAGGCTGCTATGGGTGAGTAATGGTGGAGGGATGTTAGTGTCACCAAACTGAGCCTCACTTCACTGCCACTGTCTATACTGTACAGCATTGTTTCCCAAAGACTGGGTTGCGACCCTCAGGTGGGTCACAAGAGATTTGTTTTTTGGGGGGGACGTCTCACATCTTGTTTCTCAGGAGTTTATGAATAATGTCTATTGACTTGGGTCATAAAGGTTTGTGACTTTTAAAATATGTGTCCCCAGAAAAAAAAAGTTTGTGAAACACTGCTGTACAGTGTGTATTCATGCTGGGAACGTCCATCCCTCCACGCTCCATCTTCCAACAAAGCTTTAAACGTTTCAAACGACTTAGACACCAGAACTCCGTCTAATGGAGCAGGTTTACATCGCTGACTTGCAGAATAAATTTGCAGCAGCTGCACATTTCTGCAGTGTCAGTATCGACATCAATCCCTGACGAAGGTTTCCAGCCTCTTGTTCAATCTATGCCACTAAGAAATCACGGCACGTCTGAAGGACAGAGGGAGTCCATCCAAGTGCTAGAAGATGATCCAGTCAACAGTATAATATTCAATATTACGATTTGCCACTACTGATATATATATATATATATATATACACATACATACATATATATATAAGATAGCTAAATGTTTTAGCTAAACAACGCTTCACAGAGAAAAACGTAAACTTTAAGTCATCCTGCATCGTATCTACCGTTGCCAACAGTGTTAATGATATGATGTTTGTTATGGTTATGTTTTGTTAATGTATACACGTTAATGTATAGTGATGTTAATAAGTTTATTGTATGTGTGTTTGATGTTTTATATGTACCGATGTATCCTGTTTTACCTGGCCTGGTATTAATGACACGTAGCAGCAAGTTAATGCAGCTCTAATTATTTATAATTATATACAGCCTCAGTGAAAATAACCAATAAATCAAATGTAATTACAATATAAGTCGTTGACATTTGGAATTTTCTAAATGTCAGCTGTGATTTCAGTGGAGTTTGTCATTAACAATGCAGCGTGACTGCTTTCTTCTGGACTTAATTCTCTGTATTTTTTTTTTCTTCCCATCTCTGTCATGTCAACTCAAATGAATCCAACACGGAGCTGATGAAAAGGTGAATAAATGAGGGCGGAGTTGACTGCCTTTCTTTGAGATTTGTTTTCCATCAGTTACCTGACATCCTCACAAATATTTCCCACCGTATGTGGCAGGATATTGGCACCGGCCGAGTCCTTTGATAGGGAATTACATAAACAATCTGTCGTCAAGTCTTTCATTCTTCCGAGGATTTGTTGTGATCAGTTTTATTTTTTCTATTTTCGCTGCTTTTAAATCATCCTTGATGAAACTACTTGACGAAACATGTCTCAAAGAGCTTTGTTTAGAGAGTTAAAAATGTAATCATTCTGATAACGTCCTGTTGTAAATTGTTTTATTTACAAAACAAAATACAACTTATTATTATAATTAGTTTGCATAACTCTTGACCTGGGTTAAGACATAAGACAAAAAACCTGGGTTTTATGAAAACACCCCTTGGAATTTGACATTAGAAAAGGGTCACAAAGCTATCTGAGTTATTAGTTATTCTTACTGACGCTCTGTAATGGATGGACGGATGGATGGATGGATGGATGGATGGTTGGATGGACATGATGTTTTCTAAATTGCATTCTTGCCTACAGCTCTTTCTGAAGGCATGAGCGGTTGAAGGTGAAATTAGAGTAAACGTTTTCTTCCTCTGTAATTTATTTAAGGTGTAATTATCGTGTAATCAACTCTAACATGAGAATCTTCGTTCACGCCAGAGGCTGGTTGTGTCCTGATCGTGCAGTGTGACTTTCTCCACTTGTGTGTCTTTTGAGTCACTCCTGACTCCTGAGTGGATGGACTGGTGGCTCACAGAGAGGAGTGGCGGCGTCTCTCCTGTGACTGTGACTCTGATGGGAAACACCAGCAGGTACGTCCTTGACGCAGGCTTTCACGGCCACGCCAGGTTTGTGGCTGGTGAAAATCTTTGATATAATATAATGATAATTAAACGTCAACGAGACGTCGCTCCCTGTTGAACAGGGATTGGCTGACTACTGTGAGATTTGAACGCCTTTTATTCATAAAACAAAAATTCTGTGGGAATGGAAATCCGTGTGACAATAATTTTTTTTTTCCTACTTGATTTGTAGCCTCGATTTAGATTTTTATTTGGTCTTTATAAGCTTGTTAAGTCATGACCCAATTTGTGTAAAAAATACCTTTGGAATTATGGCCCCCAAAAAGTTGACAATACGACACATATTCATATGTTTTTAGGTTTTCACAGTATATTGAGTGTCGGCCAACTTGCTTAAAAAGAAAATGGGGAAAAACATAACTTTTGATTTTTTTAAACAATGTTACATTGCTGTAGTTTAGGTCTCACTTCATTCCAATGTTGTATAGTTATATTGTCAAAGTTACTGCTGTGTTGTTGTTTTTTTGTTGTTCCTGAAACCATTTTGGTATTTAGGCTATTTGTGCTAACTAAAGGGTTTGAAACTTTTTTTTTTTCTGGAAAGACACAATGTCCTTTGTCACGCTACAAAAGTAAACAGGTTGTGAAGTTCAGTCAGTTCAGTCAGTGACGTAAAAGCTGAGGTTGCTTATAGGCAAATGTTTTGGTGGTAACAGTTACTTAACACACGCACACACACACACACACACACACATATATATATATATATATATATATATAAAGACCATTAATATTTTTTACAGTAATATTTTTTACTTAAATCCTAGTAATTACAGTCAAGATTTTCAGTCTTCTCTGGGATTTTGATTCTTTTATAACTGGGATATATTTGAAGGTGAGATGGAGATTAACTGAACTACATCTCTCTAAAATCTATATGGTTTACCATCACAGACACTAAAAGATGATAATTTGAGGGAGTTTTAAGACAGTACAGCTAAAAAAAAAAAAATCAACGTTGTAGGAAACACTCGGCGAGCCAAAGAAGCTCCTCTGGTGCTGCCTGTCTCACAGTAGGATGCACCTGGCAACATTGTTGGGTTTAGAATAATCTCACAGGATGCTGCTTCCTCTTCCTTGTAGCACACACTGTGACCATCACTGGACGCTAGCGGTTTGATCGCAACAATGTTCTAGTTTCTTTAAATTCCCCACATCGTGCAGCTCCTTTATATCAATCCGTCCATGACGTGCTCAGGTAGCTCACGGGCACGAAGAGGAGGCGTGGCAGCATCTGTTTTTTTAATTCTGATTCTGATGGGAAACATCAGCAGTTACTTGACAGATTTTAAAGCCTCTCGTAAATATCCTCCACACCGCCTGTCAGCTTATTGGCAGATAAAGAATCCTTTGATATTACAACCACCTGGCACTGACTCCTCTTTTTTGCAAACCACCAGTTGTGCCACGCACTGTATGTGTCACACATATCCAGCTGATTACTCACGAGTGCGGTAAACAGACGCGGCCACAAGGTGTCCTCGATGAGCGGTGGAACGATAATCAACCTAGACGTGGGTGCGCACACGTGCACGCGCGCTGTGTGAGAACATGATGCATGTGCGCGTGTGTCATATATAACCTGTGAACACGTGTCAGTATCGGTGGGTGTGGCGGTCAAAGGTGTGACCGCGTGCTGAACTGTTTACCCACACCTGAGGAGTAAAACTCCAAGTTTAAGAAGAAGAAAAAAAAAGAACCTCAGCCCAGTGGTTCGCCTGGTCCCAAGGTGAACTTAGGAATCATGTATACCCCAGTGGACATATTTAGACCTAGTTGCTGTAATCAAATAAGCAGTAAAATGTCCAAAACAAACCCGTACCTGTGTCGTGGTGGTGCATCTAAGGCTAGGCCTCCAGGATTTACTTTTCCAACTTGTGCTAAATCAACTCGAGAGCAGCTTGTTGACTGGAATAAAAGGGGCCATTTGTTTGTCACGCTTACTGGCCTTAACGTCATGTGGCTGAGTGTCAAACCTCATGGTGAAACAAGGTACACAGAAGGGACGTGGGGGTCGGAGGGGTTATTTATAGGGGTGTGCTGCAACGCTTATCAGGAGAAAACAACACTGAGAAAACCACGTGTCATCCTGTATTAACAGATATAAAGTCAAGTCAAGTTCACCGACCTTTACTCTATAAAAACAGTTGCCTCTTTCATTCCCACTCTGCACCATTCTGTACATACCTCAGAGGTATGTGGTGGAAGAATACTTGATGACAGATTTTTTATTTTTTTTTAAGTTTGCAACAGTTACATAAACACGTAGAATACTCTCTTTGATATTATGCCCTGTAGGGGTTGCTATAAACGCACTTTTCTGAAATTCCCCAGTCCGTTCATTTAACATTAAAGGACGTTTCCCTACTAAATATATGAGAAATACACCATGTTGTTGGTGCATGAAACTATAATTTTAATTTGATTTTTTTTTTCAAAGTGATAATGTAAAGACACATCACTCGGTTTTTCACATGCATTATTAGTTAGATGGCACAAGACAAGTTAAGGGATAGTGAAGAGTTTTTAAAATAAATAAATAAATATCAAAAAAATATTCAAACTAGTCAAAAGAAAAAAAAAGTTCAGAAACTACTTTAATCTGTAAGGCAGAAATATATATTAAATCCATTAAATTTCTACAACTTAATATTCCACAGTTACTGTAATGAAGAGCATCTAATACTTACAGTACAGCAGAGGTTCTTGCGACTCCTACGGGAGCTTCGGGGTACTGCAGGACGGAATAATGAAAGTTTTCAGTTGATAAAACTATTTTCATTTATTTTTAAAATTTTTCCACACAAATCTAACATATTGCAGTGAATTAAAAAAATAGAGAAATGCAACATTCAACGACATACTGTTTATAGTCAAATGTCTCTCCATCAGTTTGGGGGTCTTTGGCTTGGGAAAAATCTTAAGAACCCCCGACTAACAAAGTCATATAATGTGGATAAATAGGCTAAAATATGACCTGAAAGCATTTTAAGGTAGAATTTCCAGCCATAAGAGTAACTTTTGAAAAAGATATTTTGGGCCACGTGACACCTGTGCCAAGATCAGCCTCAAATCCAGATTGTTTTAATATAACTGATAATAAAACATGTTGCAGAAAATATGTACAAATAATTGAGTTCAAATAGTTTTCTTTTTAAAAATAAGGATTGGAATTGCTATTGCAGGTGTGCATGTTAAGTGAGACATTCCATTCTACATACTTTGACCCATTTTTCCCCCTGAACACACTTCGGCACAACTGTGATTCATCTTGTCCACAGCACATGGGAGACTCAAGAGTATTTCTGTTGTCAAAAATCAGGTACAGTAAATCTTTCCTAGAAACAGTCTGGTCGGGCAGTGAGCTCAAGAAGACCAAGAGAACAGCACCACCTACAGTAACTCCACATCCATCAGAGCAGAAAGCTCATATTCTGGCTGACAGACAGGTAGTTTCTCTGCAGAGCCGCCCGGACGGAAAACCATTGGAATTCAGACCTATCAAATGACCGCATACATGCCGTTCAACATTCCGATGTTATATAGTGAGTGTGTGAGTTACAGCCATACTGTTGGCTGAATCATTTCAGGGAAATCTATTCCATTTTAGGACCCAGTTTATTTTTATTTTTTTACATGTAATCTATTTATTTCTTCTTTCTTCTTTTTTAGGTTTATCCATTAAAAGAAAATGCTGAATAATCTCTATTTGCTTAAATCTTCTGGTGTTTTCTGGCTCTTTGAGAACTGTTTTAACTCAACCACTGATGGTGTGAAACTAACTGCAAATACCATAAAACACCCATTCAGGGCCACTATATTCTTCCCTATGAATCATTGCTATTCATCAGTAAAGAACAGTGGGGCTTTATCTAATCTGTGCACGTCGTCATACCACGCTGGCAGTATGAGTAGGCCTGGATGCTGGTCGCATGTTGCCCAGAAGAAAAACAACTATGTTTGTCCCTGTGAGACCAAAAATGCAGCTTTCACCAGCTAAAGGGATTTTTTTGGTTGTTGTTGTTCTTAAAACTCAAGGGAAAAAAAGGAGGAAAATGGCCCTGGGTGATGATTCACATCCTAAAAGCAGTTTTATGGAGGATTTAAGGGAAAAGAAGACATAAAAACCCAACCCAGAGCAACAGGAAACAGCGAGGCAGACAACAGGGTGGTTTAATGACGGAGAACGTGGTTTGCTGCATATTTCAGGACACATTTGCTTTTAGTTAAACACATACAGTAGGCTATTTTTTTAATGGTTTTTCAACCTGAGCATTAATAAATGACTGGCTGCTCGGTCACTACTGAGATACAATAATCTTTTCCATTCTTTCTTTCTTTTTTCAAAAACACGGTTTGGATGGTTTGGACAAGGCCACAATGAAATTTTGTCTACGTTTATATCCTGGGAATGGTTTTCCATACATGAATAAATAGGTTTAACTTTGTTCATAATTAATATCTAGTTCCTAAGTTTAGATGAGCTTA